TTTTTTTTGCTTTCACGGGTTTGATGCTGGAGATTCAACTAGAGGTACGGCTTGAGTTGTGTCGCCAGAGCTATCACGAGAAGCTTCCTTTTTCAACTTGTAATTATTGTATGCAGCTACCCCTGCAATGGCTGCAGATCCAGAATTTTGGTCATTCACCGCACAAAAATTCTTCAAGGAAATTTCAGACAAACTCTTTCGACTGTGTCTAGTACAATTACGTAAAATTAATGACAAAGCACCAGCATAATAATGTACTCACCTTCTTGAGATATTTTTTTCTGAAAAAATGAACTAAGTGGGATTACTAAAAAGCTTGTACACCATCCAAACCTATTTCATATCATGCAGACAGACCAAATTTTTAGTTTTCATCAGTTCATTTTATTTTTTTTTAATCATTTTTCAGGTTCTTCTCTCTTTTAGGTTCTACATTTCTTTCAGCTTTTCCTAGGGTTTCCAGTTTTTGTAGCAGTGTCAAAGGTTTTACATTTTTTAGTTTTATAGGGTTTACTTTTACGAGTAAACTACGCAACGGATACAAGAGTATTTGATAAATGAAGGAAAGTTCTTTTGGCTGTAATACAAGTTCACATGCAAAAGAAACTTACCAATGGCATATCCAAAAAGATTTATAAGTGTCAACTTCGTGTCAGCAAAAAGAAGGGCCGACAGCAGAACTACAACCCAGTCCTTGACAACTCCAGCCACGCGAATGGTCAAGGCACTTGTGTGCGAGATGACAAGGAAAACAGAAAGATTGAGGGCAAAAGTACATAGAGAATTCAGAGTCAACATCAAGGGCTTGAAACTCCATGTCCCCTGTGCATCCATCTTAGGTTTCTCCAGGAAGATCCACGGTATTAGAAGGCAAAGAGCACTACATCAATTAATAATAACAATTAAAAAAAACATAAAAAATAACGAAGTGTAAACAAAAATAGAAATTCAATAAAAATTGACATGCCTGCATGGGCTAACATAATACATCACCGATATGGGGTTCAATTTTAGCCCTTTACGTTTCACAAAAATCTCCATAAATATCAGTCTCAATGCCTCTCCAACCACGCCTCCCATTTGGTAAACGACACCAATCCAATTGATTTCCATCTCACCGTAAGAAGCCACGAGTACCCCAAAACTGATCACTGACATTATGAGAAGCATCCTACAACTCATCACTTCAAGTCCAGCTAATACACCAAGGATGAACACGGCAACGGGCACTATAAATGTTTCCATGAGGACCAATCAGGATATTGGTACTAAATATAGATGGAATTCAGACTGTTGGAAATAAATCATTAACAAATTACGCCCCCAACCAAATAAAATGCCTGAAGGTAGCCATTTGTTTTAAATAACGTACTGATGGCTTTCAACATCTGGGCGAATGCAACCGAGATGTAAAGGTAAGCAGTGTTCCCAAGCCAAAGTGTCATAGCAAACATTGCACCAATTGGGATGACAGAACTAATATATCTGCACATGAATGCCCAGTTTGTTCAGCGACATCACATGAAAAGTCACACACAGCAACAATAAGCGTAACTAAACGGGCATAACAATAAAATATATCCAAGCTGGCATCCCCCACATGTTCTCTTCCTCTTGGCTCGTGTTTTAATCAGTGTTTTGGTGTTCCACTTTTTTCTCTTGTTTCATTGGGTATGTTTATGAAACTTATATATAAATGATCAATCAATGCCAGCAAGGGAAGCTATTGATGAATTAAGTTCTTCAAAGCAAATATTGCTCACGCATTGAGGGTGAGAATACTCACATATCCATAGTCATTCCTTCGTCAACTTTCATAATCTGCAAAAAGGATACAAGACAAATATGAATACTCCACAATAAGCAATGTCCAAGTAAATGAACTTCATTTGTGATTCAGTTACCTTGAAAACTTTGGTAACCACAAAACATAGAACAGAAGAAAAGACCATATGAAGCAGAGTCAGTCCAAGAGGGTAAGGGAAGTTTATTTCCTTCGATGATAAAACCCACTGCACTGGAAAAAATTCTAATGAGCTTGATGTTAGCAATGTAATGAATGGTTAGTCACTGTCCTAAAGCTATCTTGCAAAAACAAACATCAAGAACAAAAGCAAAATTCTCAATCCAACTTAACTATAATCACTCGAGAATCCATGAGAGAATTGAGATCAATGGTCCAGTGACGTATAGTTAAGTATCTCATTTTGTATCCAAAAACTATAAAATAAATAAATCTATAGATAAGGAATAGAAAGAGACGGCCACTTTTGATAATTTAAAAACTTAACGAAGAGCATTCTAAGGTGGGACGAAAATCCGCAAAAATACATTTCTTAGCTTGAGGCAATGTTTGGTAGTAATGACGGGATTGCCCACATTCATCATAAATGAACTAAACATCTGTCTCTTCCGTCAAAGTACTTTGGAATGACGTAATCCTAAACATAAGAACACCAACATTTCAAATTATTAGACGCCAATGCTTATAAATTCGTATGTATTCCATCTATTACTTAGTAACCTATATGTTTACATATTTGGTATTACTTTCCAAAATATATGTTTTCTTCTTTTTAGGAAATAAATAAAACACTTAGAATTACTAAATTTGCATGATAACATTTAATAACATAAAGGTTTGATACGACAATTAATGAGGAAAAATTCTCATATCTCTTTGTAACAGCTATGAGAATGATATATCCTCCAAATAAACTCGTGCGTGTTTTTCTCCAGGATGAATCTCATCCATGTTGATAATCAAATCAAATGCATTATCTCATAAACAACCTCGTGCCTAACTCCAAATAGTCCAGAAACTAGTTTCGAAGAATTAGTATGGACCTCATATGTCATGGGAACAGGACTCGACAAGCAATTCCAACAACATTCAGCAATCACTTTGTGCCTTTTCTACTCTCCTTAAACAAAATTTGACAAAAGCCCATGACTAGGCTGTCGCCAAGAGTATCAACAACGAGCCATAAAGAATCTACGTCCCGAATCTCAATAACTAATGAAAGTCGCAAGATCGAAACTTGTTGGATGACTTGATACAGACAAATATTCAATGTACCTACTGCTGCATCTATTTACATACTGTCTCCTACAATCTAAACCTAGTTAGCAGCAGGCAGAACTTCACATCAAGAACATAACTGCATAGCAGTTCTAGCTCCAATAATCAACAATCAATACATATTCACAAAACCAACACTATTCACACTACGATTGCTGCGAAAATCTATGATATTAGCACATAGATAAACCCGCATAAAAAATAAAAAACACCGGTCATCCACTGAGTACTCTCCCGCATTTATACCCGATCAAACTCAATATTTGCACAACAGCACACACAGTAAAATGAAAAAGAAAAAAGAAAAATGAAATTAAAACGAGTGAACGGTAACACTCTGACCTTGTTGAAGAAGATCTGACCGCTGGAGAGAGCGATGTAAAGGAGAATGTACGCGTACGTTCGGAACTCTTCGTTCAGCCATTTTCTAGCACGATCCGCCATTATTTGCGAGCTCAGCGGCTGAAACTTGGGACCCAAATTTTTTCTGTTGTACAGACAAGATGTGAGGCGTTATGCTTTGGTCAGGACATGGGCGGTTTAGAAAAGTGCCGGGGCATTTAATGGCGTTTTGTATTGCAGAAAAGGGAAACGCAAAGATTGCTTGCAGATGGGGTTCAGTTGGAGCGGGTCGGGCACATCACTACCAGAGGATATAAATATTAAATAAGCATTTAAGGAGTAAGGACGACGATGGAAAATCTCGATTTTTTTTTATTGCGTGAAGCTGCCTAATCATTAGACACATGGTTCGTCAACTATTTAAATAAAAATGTATATTTATATTATAAACTATTTAAATAAAAAAATAGATATAAATATTACACGGGTGTTTGTTAAAATATTTTTTAAAATTTAAAATTATTGAGAAAAAATGGTTAAAATTTTAAATACTATATATATAAAACATATATTATTATTTTTCCAAACTTTTAACATGTAACGACAATAAACATAAATATATTAATTGAGAAATAATTTTATTTTTCTAGTTAATTTTAATAAATAATTTTATTATTATTATAAAAATAAATATAATATATTTATTTTATATAAACAATATGGATGTCAAATCGAAACTCATTAAAAGATGATTAATTTGATATATTATATATGTAAAACCGATAAAAATTACAAGAGTTATCAACTTTTAAAATTTCTTATAGTCTAAATCGAACTAATAAATGAATACATTTACAATTTAATGGTTATAATAGAAAAATATATTAGAATACAATTAATACATTTAAATGATCATAAACAAATCAACATATTTATGGCAATCCGAACTTAATTGTTTTTTATGAGAATTAAATTAAAATCTATTCAAGTCAAATAATGAAGCATGAAAATTTGACACCTAGGATCCAGAAGCATACGTGTCTGCCACTTAGGCTCAGCATATTCGAGAATTATATATAGGGGCTCGAACCTAATTGTTTTTTTGATGAAAATTAAATTAAAATCTATCCAAACCAAATAATGAAGCATGGAAATTTGACACATAGGATCCCGAAGCATGCGAGTCTGCCACTTAGGCTCAGCATATTCGGGAATTATATATAGTCTTGAATTTTTAACTTTTCCATTTGAGGTCTTAATTTTAAGATATTCTCAATATAAGATTTACTTTTACATTTACTTTTCAATTTAAGATTTCAATCACTTTGTATTTTGATATAAACCACAATACTTTTTTTTCTAATTTTATTTTTAGTAAAATTACTTTAATAAAATTCAATTAATAAATACTTTTAGCAAAATTACTTTAATAAAAAACTAATTCATTTAATCTAAATATATTATGCATAAATGTAACTAATTTGGATTAATTTCTTACGTAGCTGGTTTTACAAATATATTTAATACTTATAATAAAAGCATTAATTTTATATATTCTTAATTTTTTCAAAAATGTAAATTTTAGTCACACATAATATTTTCTATGATTTTATTTGAAAAATGAATTATTCTTTTAAATAGTTTATATTTTAATGTTATCACATATTTTGATTAAGATTAAGTTAAAATTTATTTTTAATTTTTAAAATAAATTTCATTAAAGTTTTGCATAGATATAAACTATGAAATAAATATCTTGTTAGGTAATTTTACTAAAGATACGAAGAAAAAGAATAAAAAAAATAGAAAAAAGAAAAATTACTAAAGGTATTTAATATTTTCATTTTAAGCACGTAAATAATAATTATTTTTTTT